TCTGTGTAGCCTTTCGGCTTACCTGCGATTATTTTTGTTTAGTTTCAGTTCCTTTGCATTGTAAGTTAAGCCGTAAATACTGGCTGTTTCTGTAAGCGAGAGCAGTGCCTTCAGTTAAACTTTTATCTGAGTTAAATGAAATGGTCTTTTACTCCCTTCCCACGTGTCTGTCGTAATTTCAATGACATAGTGACAAGTCACTCAAGTCTTAAGTAGGTTTCTCGTAGTTACCGAAAGAACAAGACCTTATAATGTTTTGTGCTCTAACTATTGCAAAATCGATATCTGCCCATTTTCCTGCTTTGGCTATTTGTTCTCTTATATTTCTTTCCAAGTTAGAATGGCCCATTTTATCGTTCAACAAATTATAAGGCTAAAGGTATCGAGGTGGATGATGATTGAATATCGGGATGAACTTCTGCAGTATACTCTGGCAAGATTTCAACGTTCACGTAATTTTTGATAGTTGTTCAGCTGGTACATTTAATGCAGGCCCTTTCAATACAGTCGCTATTGTTTATGTTATCCATCCATTTGTCATAAGCTCATTCTTCATTTACGTTTATTAGACGCTTCATTATTTAGATCATTAGTACTGGATTGGATGCACTCAATTACATGTTATCCTCACTTTCTCCAGTCAACCTGTCAGAGCTGGAGGACGAATGGCCGAAATGCATGTACATATGCAATGGGCCTCAGAAAAATTTTAAATACATATCGCATCGCATAACTTTAAAATCACGTATAAATAAATTGCATATAAAGAGGATTGACTGTAGGAAGGATAAAAAAGAATATTTATGCATTAAAAAAATTTTATATACTATTTTTTAGAATTTATTTAAAATTTAATTCACATAAATTTATTCGCCCAAAGAGGAAGAAGGGCTATTAATTTCATTTTGGCATTTTGCGTCGTGCACTATAAAATGGCGTTTCACTTTTCAAACTGTTGCCACCAAATAATAGAGGCCAACATTATATTTAAAGAAATTAAATAACGAAGAATATGCATGAATGCATGTATGTTTCTCGTATTATGAAAAAAACAACGGTTCCTAGAGACATCAAATTTTGAATAACGTAGTCCTTCATTGGAATATGGGCATCCAGAAGCCCAAATTTTTTAATTCGTTTTATTATATATTTCCTATTTTGTAAAACGTCAACGAATTTTTGATTAACAAGCTGAACAATTTCAAAGCGAGCAACGGCAACATTGTACGGAGGGGAGGCGACACTTTTTATCTCCAGCGCGAGGGACTGTGTATCGGACATTCTAAAGATGTGTTCTTTTTAAATATTTTGCGATACTGCTATTGAATTGAATTCTATGGTTTAAGTCCGAAAAACACGATATTTAATAAATAAAAGTAACACGCAAAGCATTAAAAAACCGCCCTTTTGCGCGTAATATAAAATCTGAAAACTTTCAGATATTTTACTTTTTTAATTACTTTTTTTTAATTTTTAAACCGGGCTGATCGAGGCATGACTATGCGAGGTATTGCTATATATTGCTTGATGTAGTGTATCAACTAAATCACAACCTGTATCAAGCTGTGGTCTAGATGGCAAGGTCTCTCAACAGTGACAATTTATTATGTACAATGCATTCTTAATATATTTGGAGAAATATATTTAGTTTGGGGCAGTTTCGAACATCTACGGTATGAACTATGATGGTGACCTAACAATGACTGTTTCCAATTACAGCCTATATGTGGCACAACGAGACCAGAGTAGGTCCAGCAGCGCAATAGATAGCAAAAGTAGAATGCTTAGAGCAGTGGCTCTCAACCTTTTGACTAATGCATACCATAAACAAAAACTGAAAAGCTTTAGTACCACAGCTATATTTTACGGTGATTATTTTTCAATTTCTGAATAGGAATATTAAAAAATGTATATTTTTTGCCATTTGCACAACTTATTTGCTATTTGTATTATATATGCACTCGTAAAAAATATTAGATTAAAATTAGTTACCATTTTAATTATCAATATTTATGTTATAATATTTTCATTCTAAAATTTAGTGCGAACTTTGGGCCCTGTTTAAGAAAGGTCAATTTTTTTATGTATGGTCTTATTTCACTTAGTTTTAACCGTAAATTAGGATCCAGTTTTAATTTTGTTAAGTACTTTTCAAATATAATATAGAAGAAACTCCTTGCTCGCACAAATAAGTTGTGAGAAAAGGAAATAAAAAAATCTGAAAGGTTTAAGATTTTAAGTTACGTCCAAAAAAGCATTTTTAAAAGTTTTGTGTGTTAACTTTATTTATTAAATATCATGTTCTACGTACTCAAACCATGAAATTCAGTTCAACAGTAAAATCGCAAAATAATTTTTAAATGAGCATATATATCATTAGAATTTCCGATGCAGAGTCTCGCGCACTGGAGATAAAAATGCTTTTTTTTCCTCGCAGTGTTGCCATTGCTCGCTTTGAAATCGTTTAGCTTGTTAATGAAAAATGCTGAAGTGTTACAAAATACGAAATCGATAATAAAACAAATTTCATACTCAAATTAGGGCTTCCACGTAACCCTATTCTACGGAAGATTACGTTATTCAAATTTTGATGGCTCTAAGTACCGTTGTTTTATCACAATGCGAGAAATATACTTACATTCATGCAGATTCTTCATTATTTAATTTCTTTAAATATAGTACAGGGCGATATTTGGTTGCAACAATCTGAAAAATGAAACAACGCTTATGGTGAATCGACCCAAATGCCAAAAGGAAATTAATAGGTCCTTCTGGGAAAATTGCCTCTTTGGACTAAACATTTAAAGCTTTTTTTGAAATGCCTTTAAACTCGTTTTTTCGATTCAGCCAAAAGTTAACAAGTGTGTTATTTTTTAAGTATTCAATTCAAGTTCGATCACAGAAAATTTCTACCAATTGTTCTTTTTCTTCACGAGGTAAACTTTCAGGTACATTTAAACAAAATGGATTCCTAACCAAATTTTTGCTTTCCTAATCCTCGATAAAATACATGTTGAAATTATTTATTAACGAAAAACAATGATGATTTTAATGTCGGATGCTAATTCTTCTTTTATTTTCAAATTATTTTCGGTTAGAAAACTTTCTAAACGTGGTAAAAAGCTTAAAATATTATTATCCAATTCTTTGATTATTAGTTAGAATTTTTTATCATCATTGCATTTATGTTATCTCTAAGGATAAAGCAATTTAATATATTTTCCTTGTAATCTTAAATTTAATTCATTTCACATTTCAAAAATATCAGCTAAATATGCTAAACGCGCCAACCATAATTCACTAAATAAACATTTTTGCAATTCAAATTTTGAATCACAAAAGAAAACTTGAATTTCTGATCGAAGTTCAAAAAGAAGATTTAAAACTTTGCCTCTGGATAAACTACCTTACTCTAGAATATAACAAAAGAGTTTCATGTTCACTGCTTATTTCACAGCATTAAATCATAAATATTCTTAAATTTAAAGCTCTTAATAAAGTTAACAGTTTTCACAGCTTAATTCAAAACGATTTTCAGGTTTTCTGGGAATTTGTTTGACTACTAAAGCTTTAAGATGAATGGAGCAGTGAGTAAATTTAATTTCATTTCCATTGCTCTATCATGAAGTGATAAACAAAATAAATACTTTTGTCAATTAATTTATCTCCTTCGAAACATATGTAAACTAATAATTGGGCAAAGCTCGTTATGCCAGTAGTTTCATCCAATTGTAATGCAAAATACGCACTATGTTTTAATTTTTCAATCTCTTTTATGGGAGTGTCTCTTACATGGAATTTGCCATTTCATGAATTCATCAACTTACTGTATAATTTGATAATGGAATATTATTAAGTTTATTAACCGCTTTCTCGCTGAATAAAGTTAAACGATATCCTTAGCTGCAGGGTAATATACGGTTTTCTTCAATAGTGCGAGCCTATCCAGTCTTGATAATTCTTGGGCTTATTAGCTTCTAAAGCTTTTTCCCTTGAAATAAAAAACAACCTTTCTTCACTTGTTTATTGATTAATTTATTGATTAATTTCCTCTTAAAATATCCTTCAGATTTATCCTTTAACTGGCATGCTTAGATTCAAGACGTCTTTTAAGAAACGGTGGTTTCTTACTTTGACTGGTTAATATTTCACCGCAAACAACACATTGAGGTTGATGGTACATTTCATCTCCACTCTGAGTAAACCCAAATGATAAATAACTTTTATTATATTTTCTATAAAAAATTTTTCTTTTCTTTTTAATATTTTTAGTGCTAGTAGATTGTTCTGTATCCATCACCTATGAATCATCACTTTTCTGCTTAGTCAATCCCAGCTAGTTTTCCGTTATGAATCTCTACTTTTGTTTTATTATTATTTCACAAATATTTAAACGCACAATGTATTACGAGTTCTTCAAAAACGACGATACTCTCATATCGCGTAGAAAAGTAAAAAATACAAAGCAACAAGAAGACGAAATGCCTGCTTTTAAAGACAAATCGACATAAAAAATTATTCTAATTGAAAATAGAGCAATATGAACCCGGAAATGGTGGAAATATAAAGTATAAATATGCTAATAAATCGCTAAACTTTAAAAGAATTTGAGATACTATTATCTATTTGTAGGAACTTTTTTTTTATTTTCTATTAAATACAACAACCATTTCTATTATTTCTTTTAAAAACATCATTTAAGACAAATTCTGTTATGTGCATGGCTAAAAGAATATTTGGGAAAATAAAAACCGATTATTTTGCTAAAGTCTATAAGCGGCTACTAACCTTGAACAAAGCTCAGATCTTATAAATTTACAAGTGTTAGAAAAAAACTTAAATAGGATTCTGGGTTGTTTAATTTTGAATCTAATAGTTAAAATTCTTTGTTTCTTTGGGTACCACCTATTTTTCTCTTGTGCACCAGCGACAGTACGCGTACCACCGGTTGAGAATCGCTGGCTTAGAGATAATCTATGACATTTTTCTTTTCGTTACAGAACGTTGGCTAATTACATGATGTGGAGACTTATCGACCAGTCTTTGCCGTTATTATCCTGCACTGCAAGGAACCTAAACGAAAGGACAGATTCCTTAATGTGGTGGGAACCCCCTTTATACACTGAATGTTACACAGCTGCAATTTATCGTTGGAGATTTTGCATTTCTCTACTTCAGGAAAGCATGAGAACGGCCGTCAGATCCTATTACATGCAAAGGTACCTTGCAGAAGAAAGTAGGGAAGACGTAAGTGATTAAATGAATAAAATTGTTTTATAAATTAATGCATATCCGCAGTTTACAAACCATATGTGTGAACATAGGTGGATTGGGTATTTAAAGAACTTAATGTTATATATTAGTTTATTAATTACTTGCTCATTTCGTAATTAATTAAATGACCAAGTAATGAAACCTCTGCGATCATGATAATTTCAAAAGAAATAAAAGGGCAAATCATCTAATAATCACTCTCAGCACATGTACATATGTGAGCTAAATAAGTTCAAAGCATTGTGAGTTTCTTATTGTCAAAAGATTTCATTTAGAATTTGCTGCTGCTGACAGATTAATGTAGAATTCATAAACTATATATGTTAAGACTTACAAATGCTTTCTATATACATATGATTTGACTTAAAATAAATAACTGAAAATGTTTTTAAAATAATATGAGTAATATTCAAGTTTTATGAATCATCTAGTATGCAAGCTCGCAATTGAAAATTAATGAAGATTGAATTTGTTGATTATTAAATAGTTGTCGAATCCGCTGTCTGTGTTATAGTCGACGTGGAACTCATTCGTATTTACTCAAATGCTTATTGCATTAAAATCACTTTCGTATTCAAGGGTAAAAAATTATAAATCTTTTTTGTGTGATCCAAATAACCTCAATATTTTTATAATCAATGTAACTGCGTTATGCTGAAGAAAATTAGCCTTGCGAATATCATATTACTGTGCTTCAGAGAAGATCATATACGGAAAGCGTGTTCATAAACAGCGCACACCAGACAAAAATCCAGCTTTGCTATTTTTTAACAGCCAAATACATGACGATTCACCACTTGCTAAGTATGGCGGAAGCCACTGGTCTTTTAAGTTTTTCACCTAAGAAATCTTTACCGCCCAAGGGCCATCTTTGACGCAATGGTAACTCGTATCATCAAGCCCGGCTTCAAGCATACGCCTTCTGGATAATCACCTTAGAGGGCCGAATTTTCAAGAATGCCAGATAAGTTGTAGTGTTCCACCCTTTTATCTAACGACTTATAAGGATCTTAATTTTACTAACGTTTATTTTATTTTAAAACTTTACTGTCCTCTCTTATTTTAAACGTCCGGCAAGAATAAACGCATTAGTCTGCTTATGCAAATAGTGCTTGCAAACTCTTAAGTATTCAAGTATAAGTTGTGGCTTTTCGCAAAGAAGAGTTAGAGAGAGAGAATGAGCCTTTTCGCCACTTTATTTCACGCGTGCTTTCAGTCAGTTGCTGTCCGCCTTTATGACCAGAGGTTCAGTCCTCTTGATATTAAAGACGTAATGTAGTTTTCCCGCAGTTTGCATACTACATGCGTAAACATCTAAAAGGCCAAAGCGTGGTGTTACTAGTTTGTGTAAAGTATTCAAGTTTAGCTCTCATTTAAATTTAGTTAGTTGTAGTTATTATTAAGTTCAGACCAGAAGTGCTGGTCTTTGTATCCCGAAGTGCGGGAGCACCTGTGAATGGTGAAAGTAAAGGATAGTTAAACCCTTCCTCTTTCTTGTCATCTCTTCTACAGTTTAAAGAACATAGTTTAGTTAAACTCACTGTCCTACTCAGGACACTTGCATGTTTTCAAAACAGCTAAGAAGAAATAGCAGTCCTGATAAACTAAGTGTTGAGGAACCTAATGAACAGCTAAACAAATAATCGCTTAAGTTCATAAATAGAAACTAAACTCAGGAAAGTTTAGTTACCCGTTGTTGCTCAAACTAAAGATATATAGTCGCCCCTTTTCTCAGCGCGTACAGCAAAGCCTCCATTTGGGCTTAAAAGTGTAAGAAATAACAACTTAACTAATGACTAACTAAAGAGATTTAGCCGAAACTAGCACACGTCTAAACTAGTTGGCCCCTAAATATCGAACTATCTAGCGAAGCTATCAAAGGCATATGGTACGGCCGAGCGTAGTAACAGCTTAGAGAGACGTGGCCAAAAGGCAAACTCGCCCTATTCAGAAATTCTGATTCAGTGGAACTTAAATATTATCTCATTTGCATTAAACGCGATTCTAAAAACTCGTTCTAGTAAGGATTTGTAAGCTGAAATTAGGGGAGACAGGAAAGGAGCTTTCACTTAAAAATAACTGTTATAAACTTAGGATAAGCCTTACATCGTTGCTCTCACAAACGGCATCAACATAAAAGCATATTTTGCTTTCAATTATTAATATGCTTAACGTTTACTAAGCGTCAAATGGTTCTGATCGACGAGGCCCCCTAAAATGTTGGGCGTCGAGATTACCTCATATAAACCTCATATGAACCTCATATAAAACTCTGTATTTCCGATTTGGATAGCAGAGAACGCACCTTCGCTACTCACCATATACTGGGACAGGTATATTTTAGTAGTTTACAAATGCTCCAAGCTTCTTAAAGTTGCTAAAAATGATTATCACTTTAGCGTGACGAATTATTATAACTTCTTTATAAAAATCTGCAAATGAAGAACAGACTTTTGTAATACGATTAATTAATTAAAAATTATTTTTATTCTAACGTATTAAACATATACGCTAGGGTTCATACATCTTGTATACTTTCAATAAGTAAATTTGAATGCACAGTCTTTTTCCCTCATTCTAAGCATTAAGACACAGTTAACCTAAAATTATATATATATATATCTATATATATATTATATATATATGATTCGGTGAGATGACTTGCTGATAAACAGCTGCGCGCATGGAATGACACAGCCGTGTGTAGATATCTTCAGGATTAGAAGATACATTAGTGACACAATAAGGGAGAAGAAATATTTTAGCAGAAATGGCTTTGATTCATACACAGTAACAATAATTATCTGGTAATTAAAACAGATTCACATATGATCATTATGGGTGCTTTATGCACCCACACAATTTTGAAAGCTTACATCGTTTTTAGACGAAGGACCCTAGTGAAGCAGGGAAACCATTCGTGGCTAGCAAAAGTAAGGCAAAGCAGGGAAAAAGAGAAAAAAAAAACTGCGCATTTAATAGCAATGGTATTTATAATAAAAATTTTCTTTAATCTAATTGGTGAGAGTTATTCCTGTATTACAGCGATTACATAAACGAATTAATTTTGAAATACGCTCTTTAGAAATAGTTATGACTATTTTTAGAACAGGTAGAGGAAGAAATCAAGTTAAAAAGAAAAATTAAGGGGACACTGCTAATTTAAAGTAATATATATGTATATATATTTATCTTACACACACATACCCACATATGTAGATAGATAGAGAGGTAGTGTATTTGTTATCTTCCGCACACGCCCCACACATATATTTATATATACATGATATTATTTGAAACAAGTAGTATTAGTAGGCAGGTAGTGTGATTTTTATTTTACAACGCTCACATCTATATGTAATATAGTATTTGTTTCAAACAATATTCTGCTTTTTAGTAGTTACAAAAAGGATATTTGAAATATAGTCAAATTCAAATTGGAAAAATTATAATGTTTCACAGTGGATTGCTTTAAAACTTTATTATTTAACACCTTTAACCATACAAATAAGGGTATTAACATGGTTCATTGTATAAAATTATTTTATTTCCTTTTATCTTCCCTCAGGCACTAAATATGACGGAATATATTCGTGCAGCATTCATAAATGTACTATCAAACTCAACCTGGATGGACGAAGAAACTAAAGAAAAAGCAAAAGAAAAGGTTTTGTTAATTTCCTTCTGTTACTTAAATGTTCCAAACAATAAAATTCCATAACCTAACAGAGACTAATAAAGACTGTAATAATGCAGTTTTTTCATTGCAGAACACTTTCGATTTAACTCTAAATATAAAGGTGAAGTATTTGCTACAAATCGTTTGCTTTTAAACGCAGTTTTTAAAAGGTTCCACATGTCTTCTAAGTTTTTTCTATGTGTCTCATTTGTACCGAGAGGAAGTTAATTTTAAGTATTTAGCTTTTTTACTGATTCGTAGCGCTCATTTTAAAGTCCCATAAGTCAATGAGAACTTGATCAACTCAACATTAACAAATTAACTGTTGATCAATTCACTATTGTTAATTTGTCATTCAAAGATATTAGTATACCTATTGCTTTCTTAAATTAATAAGTGATATTATATCTTGCATAATAATACTTCATTCAGGCACGACAGTGATTTCGTACACAGGTGTTTAAATTCATATGGAAAGGGATAAGTTCCATATGCTTAACATACAAAATGCTTCTCATCGTAACAAAAAAGAAATGTTTGAAACTACAGTTAATTCTAATTATTCTAAAATATCAATTTTGACTAGAAAATAAGCATACAAATTTTCAACAATATATTTATCCAATCAGCTCTATTCTGAAAATCATTCGGGTGTTTTCGTGGTTTCTCCATGTGTAACATGTATACGAGCCAGTTTCCCTCAGATAACCCTCCAAGAAGGCATCCCCACCCTTAGGCAGATAGCCTTCGAGACCTTAATCACATAACTAAACCATACTGATTTTTTTTCTGAAGAAGTGTTTATATAGTTACGGATGCTTTCGTTATCTAAACAGAGTATAAAGGAAATATATGATATGGACACTACATAACTTCCTTGTATGGCCTGTTAAATTATACACACTTTTTGCTGCACTTCACTTTAACTTATTTCCTTGAATTATTCTAACTTAATTAATCGACCTCTCAAAGCAAATTGAAAATGACATCAAATTTCGAAATTAAAAAACCCCATCAATTTTTGTCATAGGGAATCAAACTTCTAATTATATATATATATATATATATTTCATAACGAGTATAAAACTTTCCCAAATATATATATAGGAAACAAAAGATCGCATTAAAAGCTAGATTTCGTTATTTGTCCAAAATTTCTTTAAAATTTGGCATTGCCCAAACATGAACATCTTCGTCCTTTAAAATACTTCTCTGATTGAAAGTATATGATTACGACCAATGATTGCTAATATAAAAGCTGGATAAGAACCTGTAAGTCAGATAAGGAGGAAGGTATATATGTATATATACGTTTGTTCTACCCATTGCAATAAAAAACGGAGGTGAACAACTAGATGTTATAACAGTTCCATATTCGAAATTTTAACGCTCTACGCTAATCGTTTTTGAGTTATGCAACCTGAGGTGCACACATACATACATAGCTATGTACGTATATCCGTACAGACGTCACAAAAAAAATCCCTTTTGAACCCACTTTGAATCCATTTTACAATCCATTTTGAAAAGAGACAGTTCTTTATTCTGTCGTACGTACAGATGTCATGCCAAAAAAATGTCCAATTGGATTTGGGAAAGGCCAAAATGGTTATTTCCTCGCTGATGTACGAGTATTATACCCGAATTTTTTGTGATAACAATATTTCCTTTGCTTTGTGCAAGGAAGCAAAAAGGATAGCAAGTCACAAATTAACACTTTCTTCGTAGATATTCCTCATAAAATATAAATGAATATATTTCCAGAAAGCTCAAATCCATCCTCAAAACTTACTCGAAAGTCAGGTTTATTTGATTCATTTCTTAGACTGAGTTTTTAAACTTGGAAATAAACCTTCGACCTCTATTTGTCCAGCAATAACACTGAAATATCTTATATATTAAACAGCTTGCAAATTGTGACCTATATTTCTAATCTTCGCTTTGAATGCTTTTATATAACTTTCAGATGCACATAGAAGCAATAGTTTTATTATTACACTCACCGAAAGGTTTCCAGAATAAATAAAAATACTTATTTGTTTATATTTTGTAGATTCAGGCTGTACAGTTTCATATTGCCTATAAGAGAGAACTTTTGAACGATTCTTATGTCAATGACTTACACCGAAATGTAAGTAAATTATATTTAGTATCATATTTTCACGTATTCATTTAAAAAACTTCCATATTCTAAATAATCGGATTTTTTTTTTCAGTTAATTATTCGGAAGGAAGACAGTCATTTTCTTAACGTCCTGAAGATTTTCAAGTGGTTAACTGACAACAGCTTCTCGCGTCTTCGAAGTCCAAAAAAATTAGAGAAGTTTGTAATAATTTAATTATAATTAACAATATAATTTTAATTTTTTTATGCTTTTAATAAAATAAAACTGTAAAAGAGGAAGTGGGAACATCTGTAGCTACGGACAGAATAAAGGGTTCTTTATCCAAACTGGATTATGAAATGGATATAAAATAGATTCAGAAGAGATATTTTCGTGACGTACGTGCGTATGTATGTATCTCGCATAACTCAAAATCGAATAAATGTAGAACGTTGAAGTTTTATATACGCGACTGCTATAACATCTAGTTGTGCACGCCACTTTTTTGCTTCAATCAGCAGCACCATATATATATATGTGTGTGTGTATGTGTAATGATTCCAAATGTGTAATGATTCCAAATATGTAGATGAAGACATTGTAACTTTAACAGCTTGCGGTATTGTGTAGATAGCTGAGGATACCGTAGTGGCTTGAAGGTTGGCTGAGAGGGAAAGCATGACGTATTTAGCACAACGGATCTTGAAGAATCACAATTTTTATTTTTTTTTTACGTATATCAAGCCACCTTTTGCACACAAGATGTTTCCTAACTATATTTGAATACAATAAGTTTCATTTTGACGTACGACGTCATCTTAAGCAAGTAAGTGGCAGCAGTATGGATGAAAAACGTCTTGCCAGCAGGAGAGCTTATGCAAAAAAGGGAAGAGTGTCATAGTACTTTAGAGGAAGAAGGGTGGGAATCGGAAAAGTTTCACTTCCGAGTTTTGGTTTACAATTAATTTGATTGGACAAGAGGTATCTGCATTAAAACGTTACGTAACATAGAAAAATCTGGAATCTCGGAGAAGAGACATTTAAGGCTAGATCACCAAACCAAATTTAGAATGTTAATTCCGTGGTCGTCTATTATTTTTCAAAGCAGCCATCGTATTTTATTATATCATATATATATATATATATATATATATATATATTCCCATCCTGGTGGCCGGCTCGGTGAGTTCAGGTTTTTATTCTTATATGTTGGTAAATTGCGACTATTTTTAATGATTGAATTGTGGTGTTCTTGTGTTCTGGTTAAGAATTTGATATCCTTAGTTGATCTGCTTGGAACAGTTTTAGAATTATCAGCAATTTAAAAGTATCGATAGCCCTAATGTGGCAGCGTTTACATTTGAAACTCTTAATAGTATAGTGAATAAGTCAGTTGGTGTACCAATTTCAATGTCATTGTCATGATCCTAGATCAATTCATCTTTGTTGGTTCATTTTCATCCATTTATGAATGTTATTGGTCAACTCTATTCACGGAAAATAAACTGGCACACTCACGCAGGTTTAACAATAACATGAGCTATATTTTCATTTTTGAAATACAAATTATCTTTTCACAAAGTATTTTTGGTTCACAATTACATCGAACGCACAACTAATATATTTCCTCTTTCAGTTAATAAAAAAAAAAAAAAAAATAAACCAAAGGAATACAGAAAAACAATCCAAAGTTTTCTCACATGAGCATGCCGTCCTTCTCGCATAAACCACGCTTCTCCTTTTCTGTTGCCAGATTTTTCCTCTCTTTTTTTTTTCAGATAGCGGTCGTTGGCTTAACTGTTCTTCCAGCAGGGTTGTGTCGGTAGCTTCCCCTTACCGAGTGTGTGCATGACAGTCATTGTGCCCAGTAGGACCAGACGTGTAAACGTGTGTGCACAGATAATTTGGTCTTCTCGTACGTTAGCCGATTAGCTTGTGTTGGTGTAGAAACGCTAATTTTAATTGCAAAAATTGATTTTCTTTAACTGCTGTTAACTGTATTTGGTGTTCTAGTTTTTTATGTAATTTACAATTTTTAATGAATATGTTTTGAATTTTTATGTATTTTTGCCTTGCCGGGAAATGAGAACTGAATACAATGAATAAGAAATATATCTCTGATGAAATTCGAGGAAATAAGTTTAATAAAGTGCAGCAAAAATGTATGATTTAAAAGGACGTACATGGAAGTCGTGGCGCCCACGTCAGATTTTTTTATTATATTTTCATCTTTGAAAATCAGTTTTCGGCAATATAAGCAGACAAAAAATGAAAGGAATTTGACAGCGAGTTTTGAAAAGTCTGGATAAGAAATACGCAGACCACTGGAGAGCTCTATTTAGTAGACTAATCATGATGTCCAAAAGCATTTACGAAGTTTTGACAAACACAACGAAAGCTGTGATCAGCGCCATTTTGAATCTTAAAGTGCTGTATCTACAATGTATAATGATCATCAGTGGCATTAGTTGGAAACTTGATGGAAGTAATTTTTATTGTTCTCTATCTCAGGACGTCTTGATGACAGATAGTAAAAGGCATTATTTTATTCATAAAAAGTTCTTTCTAAAGTAGTCTTAATATCCACACGAATGCTCGAGCAATTCGTAGAAGTTTAAGATTACATATTTAAATCTGCAAGATATTTAGAGTTGATCAAATTTACATCACTGGCAATGAATCCAATTCATAGCGGGAAAAAACCTTTACTGAGTCGACTGAGTCATATTTAAAATTGATTGTGTAAAAGTATTTAATAACGTCCTTGCACACAACAAGTAGCTTTACTTTTCCTGTAAGTAAGGTCTTTTGCAAAATGATGTGGTAGTATTTCTAACGCTAAGAATGCAAAATAAATTCATTTGCTATCACTAGCATTGCATCTGTTGCGGTAGCATAAAGTGGAGGGTTTTCCACACTTTCGGCTGAACTGAAATTCTTCAATTTAGTATGTATTCCATAATAAAAAGTATAGATCCCTGATTTTTATGCTTAATGCTTGAGGTATTTCTTCAACGAACTGAACTGTAGATTCCTCGTGCAGAATTTCGCTTGCCAGTTGTGCTGTATCATCTTGTACATCGAAAACTGTACTGGCGCTTTATAAGTAAGAAGTAAGATCGAAAGAAAACAGGAAGAAACTGGGAGTTTTATTGTCAAAGAATTTTTTATTCTGATTGCCAAAATATCTGCTTTTCTACAATAGCATCTGTCTAATGTAAGAGACCTCACTTTTTTATCATGGATTTTTGCAATGTAAATATGTATATGAAATTTTCGTTAAGCAGATTTCAGTGTAACAAAGTCCATAGTTTGTGACTAGGTATTTTAATGTTTTTAATACTGTCATTAGGTTGTTTTATACCTAAAAATTGATTTTTCATTTTTCCCAATATGTAAAGAGTATTAATTTACTCATCTTTTACTATATACATGTTGTTAAGCAAGATATAAAATGTGATAGATATTTTAGAGATTTGATTTTCTTACATTTTTCAAGTAACTTATTATTTGCTAACAAAATTGTTACAGCCCTCATAGAAATTACTTGTATAAATTATCATTCACATATGTATTATCTTTTTAGAAATTTAATAGCAATTAAAAATGTAATATAAACAATGTAATATTTTCTCTATTACTCATCTTTTGTTTTCATTTGAAAACTCAAATTTTAAAACAATGATTTGAAAGTAAAATTTATAGTATGAGAAAACCAATGTTAAGAACACGAAATCATAATTAAAATTAACACGTACCTTTTTCCAGGTTGATGTCAGCAACTGGGAAATTCACCTATGATTATACGAGGAACAAAATTGGTGAATTTTTTTTCTTTGTCAATTAACTGTAATAATCTTGTTACCTTCTTGCTTTAAAGTTGAAAACTTTGTATATTTATTACAGCAAGAGACTGAACCAGCAAATTAAAAAAAAAAATATTCTCGTAAAAATTTATATTACCAAAATAAAAATTGAATTTTTCAATACAGTATTAGAATAAACAAATACCAATATTTATACCCTCCTCCCAAATTAGAGAATACGTGATTTCCAACACCAGTATCGCATGTTTCTAAATACGCTTATAAATCTAATCTGCAGATGAAACGAACTCTTTAAAGATACAAGTAACACATATTTGTCAATATTACTTTTGAATGTATTTTGTGTAAATAATTTTCAAAATTTTGACTTTGAACTTTTTATTTTTCAATTAATCACAAAATTTATACTCGTCTTTAATCCGCCCTAAATTTTGTTTTTACTTAAATTATTCATTTTAAAACTTTAAATCTAACTTCAGCTTAAGTGACTCTCTTCTGTAACTACGCTTGTAAACTGTACAAAGTATGCCCATAATAGTACTTAATATATGAAAGAAATATAGAATTTAATATATGAAACGTATTACAATTTTCTATTAGTAAACCCAACTTTCCAGCTTCCAAAGCATTGTTTTGTTATATACTGAAAATATCATTGGCGCACAGTAGGTTATTTGAATACTTTGCCGTATTCAAATAAATTAACCTAACCTACCTGAATTAACTTTGAATTAAGAAAAATTGGTTTTATTTATGTGTTTAGTATTATTATTAATTAATAGCACGTTTCTTTCTCGCAGTTTTACGTGCAGGAATAATTCAAGATCCATTTTTTATCTATGACAGGACAAAGTAAGTATGTAGTACATTTCATATATTTGATTAAATTTAAATGCAACTGAAAATGCTTGTTAGCGTCGAAATGATTTCATTTCAAGTACCCTTAATATGTTAAAGCATCTTGGTACCAATTTTCATTTTTATTTTAGATTCATAAATTTTGGAGCCCTCGGTTCTCTGATTGCCCGTGAACTTGCACTTGTAATCGTTGGTCAAGGTAAGGTATTACATTTAGTACTTTCAGGTATATAATATTAAGTAAAATAGATCACATTCACTTTTGTTCAAGAGATAGAATACAAGCTAAAGGTCGCACTGTGTAAAATGTTAAGGATGTTTTAATCTTCATATGCAGTTATTAAGAAGAAGGAAAATAGGCTTTATATTTGCGTAATAGAAAAAATAAAGTGTTTGGAAAGTGGTTGCTTGGTTACAAGAACCTCTTTAAAAGCGATACTAGGTCTAATTGACCAAAAGTAAGCTGTAGAATGTAAAAAAGGCGTTTTTTAACGTTTTGTATGTTACCTTTATTTATTAAACATCATGTTCTTTACACTTAAACCATGAAATTCAGTTCAACAGCAATGTCGCAAAATAATTTTAAAATGAGCTATCTTGAAAATTTCCGATACACAGTTCCGCGCGCTGGAGATAAAAAGTTTTTCCCCGTAGAGCCATTGCTCGATTTTAAATCGTTGAGTTTGTTAATAAAAAATTCGTTAAAGTTTTACAAAATATGAAATCAATAATAAAACAAATTACAAATTTCAAATTTGTGCCTTCAAATACCGATATTCGCAGTAGGATTACGTCTTTCAAATTTCGATGGCTCTAGGTACCGTTGTTTTATCACAATACGATAAACAAACATACATTTATGCAGATTCTTCATTATTTAGTTTCTTCAAATATAATACAGGGCGATAGTATTTCGTGACAACGATTTGAAAAGTGATACAGCCTTTTAAAGTTTTCAACGCAAAATCACAAAACGAAAACAAATAGTCCTTCAGAGACAAAGCCCCTTTGGACTGGCTGGTCGGTAATATAGGGAGGGGCTAATAAATGCATCCCGAGCAGGATGTTTTTACCAGTTAGAGTGATTGAGATGTAAGCACTGTGTTGCTTTTCCCCAAAAATTATCGGCTGAAGAAGGGTTCCTAAGAAATCTAGCTAATGGTCTTTTGACGTTCTTCATTAGAAGTCAACCTGCGGTACTTTCTCAATATTTTCTTTATTTCTGCTTATTAGTGCAAACCCTAAGTCACAGAAATCGTCGTGTATCCCCATTTTGGAGTCTGGAATATCACTGGCACACATATGACTTACTTTAGAAGACCGGTTTTAAAGGAAACATAACAACAGTCAACTACGGTTTGTATTAAAAATTAAATATAAGCTCTCTACTTCTTTTTTTTTTCGAGTCACATACCACAGAAAGGAGAAATACATATAAATCAACATTGACAACGAACTATTTATTCAAATCGATGTCACTTAGCAAACAGGAGTGTAAAATCATTAAACTAACTGGGCCATTTGCCAAACACTTTTCCCAATTTTTTTCAGTGGTGGAGCGTTTAAAGCAAAGTTATGTATTTTATATTTCAACTTGGAGAGTAGTTGTATGTACAGGTAGTCATAACAAAACTTCCGCGATGTATGAATCCATAGGGGCCTATCGTCTCAACCAATCAAAATGAAACTTCAGATATTTTTATTTGAAGGTGCGCGCTCGATATTGTGATGATTTAAGAATATAGAACTCTCATGGTGACGGTTACAGTGAAAACATTTCAAAATTTTTGAATGGCAGCACCCACTTTTTTCCTGGCGCTCAGACAGTATAGTGGTCAGATGAGCCTACTGCGTTATCGAACTGCCTGGATTCGAATAGCGGAGAAGGCGCGAATGTCTGTAAACATATAGTGGCTGTGCGGCTTGGAGGCACTCGAAATATAAGACGAGCCGAAAGACCTCTGGAGAGTTTGGTGGTAAGGGAAGAGGGGTGCAAGACTCTCGTGTCCGTTCTCTCGGAGTGCTCTTCATGAAAATCGAGGAAAATCGAGGATGGAACTGGGCGAAGTCGTACTCTCACCTATATGGTGCTCAAAGCTCTTACTAACAATAGGCGGAGTCTTGTTGTCCTTGCCCTGACGAACTTCGTAGACTTGTCCTGATCTTACTGTCAGATAAGTGAGATAAGTCACAAAACAACACCACTTTTTTCGTGTGGAAACCGAGCCCATTGCAAAACCCTAAATTGAGTTGGAACTGCACAAGTATGACGAAAATTCCCGTCACATTTGCAAAGAAGAACATTAAGAGAAGAGAGAAAATTTGTTTTGTTGGAATTGCAAGTTTTCAGTGCGTACAAATTTTTAAGATAGAGTTATCTCCCGTAAATTTGCGGCCATGGCGATACCCCGACTTAACTCCGATAGATTTTTCATTTTGGGATTATCTGAAATCTAAGGCGTACACTTCACATCCACGAGATTTGTTAAAATTGAAAGACGCCATAAAACATGAAGATATATAGATTCCTCCTGTGATGTAACCTTTGCATGGCTGTCAGCAATCTCTCGCATGCAATGCGCTATCATTTGCGAAGGTAGGAATGTTAAAAAATTGTAATTCCAATAAAAGTTCCCCCCTCGCCTTTATTATGTTACTATTGGTCCCTTACAATGTTCTTATTTGCAAAAGCTTTACGCTGATAATTTTTATTATGCGTGTATCTTTCCAACGCCATTTATGATTTTTCAATGCACTTATCAATTTGTGTTGCCATTCATAGGTTTCGAAATATTCTCTCTATAACAGTAACCGTAAGAGCTCTATTTTATTAAATCATCACAATCTCGAACGCATACGTTCAAATAACAATATCTGAAATTTCATTTTCAGTAGTTGAACGCCTAGACCGTATTCATACATCGGGGGTGTCTTTTTTATGACTCCCCTATATTGGAAATTTATAATGATCATTTAAGACAAGAATGCCGAACTTGATTATCAAAATGGAAAATATCCCTTTTTTTAATTCAATACTGATCTTAATATTATAGGTCAGAGATCTGATAGAAAGGGTAATGATGTAAATTGGTGGAGCAATAACGCAACCCAAAGATTTGAAGAGAAGTCACAATGCATCAGGCAACGATACAGGAGCTACGCATTTCATGCTGGTGCATTCACGCCTAAGGTAAGATACAATTAAATTCTTTCTTCTTCAACATATATAGGAAAGTCAATGAGTAATTAATGTAAATTGATAAATTCATTTAGGTATTTTCATAAATTTTATATTTTTACCTTCTTTTTCATTCTTAATGAAATGTTAAACAAACAGGACAAAACGCAAAAGAAAACTTATTCATTTTTATTCTTTTTTTTATTTTACCCAAGGCTTCGACAAACTGAAGTTATTTATCAGACAAAGTTTTAATATCCTATTCGTACATTTGGTATATGTCCAAAATTATGTTTACATGTATAAATTCACGGATTTCTCAGAGAATATGACATATAATTTAATGAATTTTCGTGGAATCATACATAACATGATGACACATAAATGCAAAAGAAAAAATTGAAGATCACCTCATATGATATAAAATTGTAGCATGAAACAATAAAAATGGTAATAAAGTGTGACAAAGAGAGTTAAGAAAAAAAGGAATGATTCAGAAAAAGAATCAAGTCTTACGAATTTAATATGGAAGATGATCTCCCCTGACTTGTACACCATATCACAAAGTGTTTTAAAGGCTGGAAATAACGTTTGTTAACCCAGTTTGGGGAATTAATCTCCACTCTTCCAGCAATGCCGTCTTCAGAGCGATTTACATCTCTAGGAGGAGGATGTATACGTGCAATTGCTCTTCCAATGTAGTCCCATGAGTTCTCTATCGGGTTAAGGTCAGGAGAGTTTGGTGGCCAAGGTATTCGCTTAATGTCTTCACTTTCAAGGAATTCATCGACAAGGTTTGCTTGATGTGGACGGGCATTATCATCCATAAATAAAAAGTCAGGTCCATATGCACCCCTGAAAAGTCTTACATAAGGATCTAAGACCTCATCTCGATATATCTGGCCCCTGTCACAGATCCGCTGTGAACACGTGTAGGGGCGTACGTCCATCGATCATTTTCCACACCATACCATCACACTCCACTACCGAAACGGTCACGTTCCAATTGTTCGAGGGATTATTTCGGTTCCTGACTCCCTCCAGATGTAAAACCGTTTAGAATCACCAGTTAAACTAAACCGCGACTCATCAGTAAAGAGAACATGGGACCATTGATGTTAGTCCATTTGATGTTCTTTACACCAATTAAAGCGATCCCTCTTTTCTGTGAAGACAGTAAAACACATACCCTTGGCTTCTGGCATAAAGGCCTTTTCATTAAGCCTTCTGTATATTGTTGCCGTGATGCAACAGTTCCGTGGCAGCTGCAGCTCTGAATTAACTGCGAGCAAGTAGCCTTTCTGTTACGACGGGCAGTTAATGCCAGATACCGATCTTCAGAAGCAGTTGTCATTCGTTTTCCGACCTTGCCAGGCCCCTTACAACACTTCCATCATTTTGAAACTGTTTCCATAGCTAGAGACTGTCTGTCTTGAAATATTCAGACATGTGGCTGTTTCCATGATTGACTGCCCTGCTTCTAAACGGCCCGAATCGCCACTTTACAGATTCTTCCAAATGATACTTCGAAGCATAACAAACCGCTGAGTCCTACACACTGAAATCAAACCTTGAGAAATTCACTCAAATATTCAGTTTGCGCAAAGCGCTTGATTACCCTGGATGACGTAAGCCAGATTGCATATCACAAACCGTTGATACTTGTTGATTGGATAATGCTAATTAGGCTTGGTTTGACACATTCCCTGCAAATCGGATCACATTGATTCTTCATTGATATCATCATTTTTGGGTATGTAAAGATAATTTTGGACATTAGTGTATATAGGGCTAGCATGAATGCTTCATTCGTTTTGAAAAGGCTATATTTTCAAAAGTATTTCACATACACACATGTAAGAGATATGAAAAGAATCACAAACTCACCAAGTTTATACACCCTCTTACAAATATTCAGTATGTGCTCCTTTGCCGACAAGGTATACGTCCAGACGATAATCGAGCTCATCCCATACATTTTGTAGCATTGTTGTCTAGATGTTCGTCCTGTTAATTGACCAGATTCGGAATACTGCAAAAAACTGGGTAGAATATTTTGCGTCAACGCAAAAAATCGGATATTTTGAAATATCAGATATTTCAAACCGTACCATGTGTAACTCCTGCAACAATTAAAGCCGAAGGATTACTCCCGTCGACTATATTTTTGCGTCAACATGCAGGAAACATTGGAAGATGAAGATTTCGCCACCAAGGTGATATTCAGTGGTGAAATAGTGAAAATAATTTGGTGAGTTTGTGGTTCTTTTCATATATTTTTCATGAGTGTACGAGTATTACATTTGAAAATATCTAACCTTTTAAAAATGAATGAATCCTTTATGCTAATCCTGAATAATTATTTTCCTTTGGGGCTTAAGTGAAAAATGAAATATGGTCTTTCCTATTTTGGGTTCATTAGAATTTTTTGTTTTAATTTTGCCCAGTCTCTGTGTTTCTCTTTACAGTCATTTTGCATTATTTTATTATTTCTACACTTCACTTGACTGAGAATTGCAAGATTAAAATCTATCAAACTGTATCATTATTAGAATATTTACAGCATATTTATTAAAAATTGTACTTTTTGCCCAAGACAGTAATCAGAGAGAGATGGTTATGTAATAAAAATATTTTTTAAATATTATAAAGCATAACCAAAAAAAAAATAATAATAATAAATAATAATAATAAATTAAATGCATTAAAATCAGATATTGTTTCCTCGTCTGGTCATAAATATAATGAGATTATAAAATCATAGCACGTAAATAACTGCTTAGTATACATTTCTGGAACAAAAATTTAAAAAAAAGAAACAAATACAATATGTGCATTTAAGACATTATTTTACAGAAAACATATAATAGAAAATATTTCGAACTCTCTGCTTGGATTCGTCAATAAAAGTTCTGACTTCATTCTATTTCGAAAATTTGTTATTTTAGCTTTTTCAAGATAGCACATATAATTTGAAATCCGTAAATTTCTTCCTAATTTATAATTATAAAAAGCAAAATCTATTAGAAAAGTTGCTGAAATGGTTCGTTTAAAGAATTCACTAGCTCTTGACAAAATAAAATATTGCTGCGAAAGCTCAGCTGCGCTGAGCTTCAGAAAGAGGCAGAGAAAAGCAGGGTTGCCAGATTTGGCGGGAAATCGCCTATTTGGCGATATTGGGCAACAAACTTGAAGATGCCTAGACAGAGCGAGAACATACTAAACGCATTCTTGGCCGTTTTCCCGAGAACATTTTCGAAGGTAGATTAAAGCTATATATTCTTTAGTATATATAGCTTTAGTAGCCTAGTAGTGTCTTGAGTTCAGAGGTTAGCTTGAGAGCGATCGATCGAGACGGGGATTGTTCCTTATGCTTTGCCGTGAAGCTGTTTTCCCCATTATAGCCTGAAGGCTGTGTTGCTGATTGTTTCAGAGTGTTTGTCATAGAATTTCGACGACTATAAACATTTCTTTGGAACTGCCCTGTGTAATAGTGCCTACTGGTGAATAAATTGTGCTTTGATTCTTCATCAAGTGTTATCATCAGTTACTCCGAATCCACAAATCCGTAGAACGCAACAATATCATTCGAAGCATAACAGGGCTGATCTTTAGAATATGGTAACTGGTAGTTTGGCGACATTTTGGAGGCGATAAAGGTTACTACCTGGGACTTTGGTAATAATGTGAGCAGACTCAGTTCCGATTACGCATTATTTTGTGTGAGGGGAAATGAGAGATCATGAGATATGGCATGTGACATTAATGGACAAATAAATTACAGTTCTTTAATCGGAAAAGGGGATAAATTTGGAAAAACATCTGCAGTACTATAGCTGCAGTATTAAGCTTCATTGTGTGTTGTGCGAGTGTTGATTAATTTTTGGATCGCATGGCGCTATCTAAAGTGAATTCAAAATTTTTAATGCATTTATCTGATAATTCAAAAGAATTGGTTGAATGGTATACGAGTGTAGGATTAATTGCGGATAAGTATGAATGTCCAACATGTGGAAATGAGATTGTGTGAAAGGAAGGATATTACAGATAAGTTTGAATGGCGGTGCAAGAATCTGGTGAAAATGTAAGCAGATTCTGAAGAAGAAGAAGGTAATTGTATTTTTAATATTTGAATATTACTTTTATGCATTGTTCTAAATGTAAGTGGAAGTAAAGGATTTGGTATTATTGGGAAATTGTTATTAGCAATGATTTAGTTTAAAGTATAGGATTGTAAAGCTAATTTTTTATAATAATTATGTGCTTATTTATTTTAAGTAGTGTTTTTGAATTTAATTATTTTAATTAAATGATAGTTATTTGTGAATTTTATGTTTGTAGAATTGGGATACGTTTTGGTGAAGTAAACGTGGATGGAAACAATTTAAATATTTGACACTAAGTATTTGTAATGTTTGCGGTATGAATTCGTTGGTGACGTTTATAATATAAAGACAATTTAGAGGTAAAAGTTTTGGATATTTTTATTTTACGTGGAATGTTCATATTTGGAAGGGTATATACTTTTTCGTTATTAGGTAATTTCATATATGTCTTTTTAACGGTTTAAAGATTCAGAAAATGTCATGCATTTTCGTGAAATTTTTCTCATTTATCAGAAAAAGAGTGTACATGGATATGGTGAAGAGTGGTGCGCATGCCATTTTTGTTCAATTCTGGTATTTTGTAAGTAAAAATAGTTGACGTGTACATGGTTTAGTGATATTTTAATTAAATGATAGTTATTTTGTGAATTTTTGTACGACTTGGTATACGTTTTAGTGAAGTAACGTGGATGAAATAATTTAATATTTGACACTAAGTATGTATCTTGCGGTATGAATCGTGGTGACTTTATAGTCATAGATGATTAGGTAAAGTTTTTGGATTTATTAGTATATGTGGAAATTTCATATTTGGAAAGGTATTACTTTTGCGATCAGGTAATCATATATGTTCTTTTACCGTTTAAAATTCAGAAGTGTCATGTATTTCGTGAATTTTAATTGAGA